TAGCACGAAAAAACCGAAAGTAGACAAAAGAAGAAAAAGCATGGTGATTTATATATATATATATATATACATATTTTTATAGTAAAATGTAATCCAAGTTTTGATTATCCAATTAAAATGTCATCACTGGTACTCTACACTGCGATTAGATTAGTTCTTTTAATATCCAGAAGTTAATAAAAAATAGATTATAAAAAAGAAAACGGAGCAAAGATGGCAGGATCTCCAACGCTTCAAAACTGCCGCCAAATGTATGATACCGTTAATTAAAAGACACGTCACAAGTGAGAGCCTTCCGACAGAATAAGACACGTTGGATAAAACGTGTCCAATTCACCAAGAAAATGACCAACACGTGGCAAGGCGTGATTTTGCTTTGACGCGTTTTATAACGGTCAATCAAAAGCGCTTTAACCGACCGCACTCGATGAGTTGAAACTTCTGATTAAATTAGCTAACGGAATCCTATAATTTGACCTCTTCTAATTTTTTTGTTTGTTTAAGATGTACAGATGTACTAGTCAACAATACTTATCGGTCCCTTATTTTGTAATTTATTTATTCAGATTCCATAAAATGGAAGTTCCATGAGTTTAAAATTTTACTTATTGTTGGATGTTGCGTATGAAACGTTTTCTTTATCGCATTTTTGGTAAAAGTGTACAAATTTCAAATAATGTTCCCTTCTTCTGAGAATATATATATATATATATATATAACGAATACGTGAATCCAATGTTCATAAGAATTCAAACAATCCAATGGTCGTAAGAATTCAAACATTTATCGTGCTTTTCTTTTAATTTTTAATTTTTATGTGAATATTTTTTAAGTATTTCCTTAATGTACTATAACTTTGATTCTTGACCTTATATATACTTTTCTTTCTTTCTTTCCTTGAGCTAAATATTGATAAAAATCGAAAAACTTCATAACATTAAGTCATTAATAAAATGTTTTTCTTGCTATAATAGTAACATAGCTACGATAGTAATCTATAGAATTTAATATATATTATATAATAAGATAACTGAAATTAACAAAGATATTATTCTATTTCAGTTTCGTTCAATTCAGTATGGTTCAGTTTAACCAAATTGAACTCCCCTTACCATTTGTGGTCAATTCTTCTTTAAATATAAAAGGATGTTTTCGTGGAATATAAAGACTTCTGAAGAGAGTTTCTTAGAAATTAATTTTCAAGAGAAATAGAAAAAGGAACTCAATTCCAATTTTGTTAGCCCGAAGCCTCGATACAAAGTTTATTACGTTGGTTGATTGGCATCTTCTAGAAGTCTTCAGATACTTCGAGAATATATATATATATATATAGTTTTATTATTACATGGTTATATGTAGTACACACTATAGTACACGTGAATGGGAACCAATATATCAGTAATAAAATTGAAAAAAATATTTAAAAAGCCCAATAAGTGTTTTGGTTCACTTTCGATATATCGTTTTGGTGGTGTTGTCTTTTTCATTTGAATTCATCTTTTCGTTGGAATTTTCATATAATATGCACCCCCCCCCCCCCCAAAATCAAAATATTTATACGTTTTTAGTACGACATTGTTGTTTGTGAAAGAAATGTAGGCCGATATATGTAAGTCTGGCCCCAAAAAAAACCCAACATAAATAAATATTCCTTATTCGATCAATCATACTGAGTTTCATTCCCACGATATACGGATGGGCCTAAATGGGTCTGCAATGGTGGAACGTCCCTGAAAACATGGGAGGGACGATTGTTTTTGTTCCTACTTTTTATGTAGTTGTTGTTGTTTCCTGTTAACGGGGACGAGTAGTAGCCCTTTTATTCATAACCAACTATCTCTAAATCTTAATACTACCTCTAACAGAATTCAGACTTTTAAGAGGCTTTAAAATCAACGTTTGTACAATAAAGGAAATTGAGATCGTATAAAGAAATTTCTATACGAATCCGAAACGTGATATAATTACAATATATAACGGGGAGTTCAGAATCTTTCTAACGTAAACGAATAGAACAGCTCCAGTAATTAACTATACTTTGTCGAGGAGGGATTGAATATTGATTTTACTATACGACGAATATTAAATTTTATGATCCAAAGGAACTCGTGTCATCAAGTCAAGACAACTTTGCTTGTGACTGTGTAGCCGTGAAAAAAAAAAAAAAAGATTTTGTCATGTTACACATATACGATATGGGAAGAGAATAGAACGACACATCAGTTGTTCTTAATTTGGCGTACAAGCATCTCTCGTAAAACATCGCCATGAAAATATTATTTTGTAAATCTCTTCAACCAATCAAACGCGTCTTATATATAATAATAAGATTTCGTTGAATATTGGTTTACTTTACATAATAAAATATAAATTCTTTCGAAACAGATCCTTCCATTGTTGTGGCATGTCGAGTTGTTTGTTTGCAACCGGGAGAAAACATTTTAAAATTTTAACAATCATAAATACTGGAATACAATTTTTTTTTTCTTGTTCCTTAAAATAACGCAATGGTGACATAGTTAAGTATTAGAGGTATCACTCAAAACGAAATGTAATAATTAAAGTTACAAGTCACAACTATATATACATTTATAAATTCGCGACGAGGACGGTGGATTCTGTTGTTCAACAATCTGATATATATTCCGTTTTTTTTTTCAACAGTAATCGGCAAGATTTCAGAATAAAATATGGTTTCGATTGGTGATATCTATCTATTCTATTAAAACATAAGCATATTTAGTCCTTGCATCCAAACATTCCCAAAGTTTTTTTTTATAATATTTTATTTTATTTTTATATTTTATTTCCGAAAATTAGTTATTAATTTAGATATTTTTAGATATCTTAAAATCTAGATCATCTTTAATTTAAATTTCAATTTAACTAAATTTAGTTACAAAAATTTGCATTCAATTTAATTAAAATTCAAAAAATTCAAAAAAATTATAATTAAATTTTATTACAAAAATTTAGATAATAATTTCAATACTTTATAATTTCTTAAATACAGAAAATATTTAATTTTAAATTTTAAATTTGAATAATATTTTTATAAAAATGCATAGTAAATAAATATTTTATCGTATTTTATCATAAACAATCGATCTAAAATATTAAATATTTGAGATTAATAAATATTTATATTATACAAAAATATGATCGAGCTGATTAGAGTTATCTATATATATATATATTTAAGGTCCATGAGTTAATTTATTAAAACATGTAAGATATTAAGATGATTTGAGACAATTAAACTAACATGTTAGCCTATTTATATATATATATATACATTTTTTTAATAGCACAAATAGTAAATAAATATCTTTTTATATATTTTCATAATCAATTGGTCCAAATATTCTATACAATTATAATTATAGTTTTATACGGGTTAGTTTGTCAAAACATGTAAGATATTAAAAATGATTTAAGACAACTAAACGGATGGATTAGCAAATTTATAGATATATAGATTGTTTATGTGTAAATCTAAATTCACATAATAACAAAGTTTATAATTAACATTAGATCAATGTATACTTAATTAATGTATACTCTTATTCTACTAATATACAAATTTTACTGTTTAAAATTAAAATATGATAACAATTTTTTGATTTAAAAAAATAAATAACAAAAATAAATTATATCTAAACAAAAATGATAAATGCAACTTATATTAAAAATAAAAAATAAAACATTCTCGTGCGGACGCACAAAGTTAAAATCTAGTAGATAAATAAAAATATAGATCATACAAATCATGCAGATTAAGCAGAACAAATACATATCAAGCAGAACAAATACATATCAAGCAGATCATGCAGAACAAATACAGATCAAAATTCAAAATATTTGTTTGAATAATATAAAATTACAAAATAATATAAATTCAAAAATCAAAATGTAGAAAATATTAAAATAAAATTATTAAATTTATTCACTGTTATAGATATATTTAAATTTTAAATATTACACATATCACCATACAAAAAAAAATTAAAAACACAATTTATTTTTATTATTCCAGTAATATCTCATATAAAAGAAAAAAAAATATATATACCCTGGTTTTGAAAATCTTTCAGATAAATGTAGATATAAATATCAAACCATACATACACATAGGAATCAATTTTAAATTACCTATGACTAATAAAGAGATTTTTTTTTTAAAAACTCTATTTTAAAGTCTGAAAAAACTAAAGTTTTAATTAGTTAAATTATTATTTTGACAAAACATTTCTTCTGAGTTGTTTAAGACTTGTAACAAAAAAAAGTGAACATGAATGCATAACATATGAAGACACTATTTTATTATAATGTCTTCAAATGAGTGTAAATGTACATGTTAATATGAATTTTGAAATGAAAATAAAAAACAAAAAAAAATGAAAAATGCAGAAAGGGCGAACCTGACCTAAAATCATGCAGTAGAAAAACGAAATTTATATACAAAAAGAAAGAAAAATAGATAAATCCTAACAAATCCAAAGATTCATGGAGCAAGAGAAGTAGCAGCACGCAACGGACTTATTAGTTTTTAACGAGTCTACCTACTAACACAAATTGTTTGAAAGAAAAAAATGTAAAAACAACATCATGGAACTTTAAAAGAAAAAAAGAAGAAATTTTCTGTCGTTGTTGCATATAAAAGAAGAAGAATATAATCGGGAAAATGGAATAAAAATAAAAGAGTGGTTGATTTTGCCCTTTATATTATTCCTCATGTAAACAGTTTTACTTACTCGAATTACATCGAAAGTTAAACAATACAAACCGTGAGGCATTTTGGAAAATAAAAAGAAGATAGAGGGACCGCAAGGATAATTAAAATATGTTCCTTGCCACAAAAAAAAAAACAATTATTTTTTGTTCATCACTCTTCTGAAAGTTAGCGTCTTTGCAAGTAGAAAAGGCCAAAATAGAGAGCGGCCAAAACGGAAGCAAAAAAGCCTCATCATTCCTTTCTTTTTACTTCATCTCCTCCCTTCGCTCATCACCATAACCACACCACAGAGAAAGCTTTCTGTAATCGCAAACTCTATATTCCCTTAAATGGCCTGACTATTACATTTTGACTCAACTCTTGTTTATATAATCAATATCTACGAGATCAAGCACCTTCGTGATTTGCGTGCGTTAATACGGTGGAATTTTTTAAATGGGTTTCAATTAAGAGTGTCACATTTTTGGATTAAGTCGAGTTTTTCTCATCATCTTTCGTCAAAGTTTCGAAATTTACGAAAAAATTACTGAAAAGGAGAGAGTTGTTTCCTCCTTGTTTTTTTTTGGGGGGGTCTAATAAGTTATTCTGTTTTCTGGGAATCTGATTCAATGGCTGCGATCACTGAAATGCCCACTGATGTTATCGACGATGCTCATGAGATTAGTATCAATAGCGATGGCGAAAAGATCACTGGTGACGGAATTGAGAAGAGCTCGATCACGGGTTCTAAAACTGAATCCGAGCTCAAACCCGAATCCGAGTTAGATATGCAGAAGCTTGTGGCGATTTTCAAGAAACTGAATCCTTTGGCTAAGGAGTTTTTCCCTTCTTACTACAATCCGAAGAAGAACATTCAGACTGGGAAAGGTAATCAATTTCTGTCGTCTGACGATTTTCCGACCACGAAGAAGCAATCCGGTGAAGAATTTGATCCTGATGGCAAGAAGGATGACAATAACCGCAAGGTATAATCGTGGATTTGTTTTTCCCGTTTTTTTTTTTTTTAATGATCAGATAATTTGGATGATAAATTAATCTGACGATTCACAATGTGACTTTTTGTTGTTGTAAAGCTGCAAACTTTGGGGGTTTCGTTGTGTTAAATTTTCTTCTTTTTGTGAAAACAGAGAAGAAACAGTTATAGCCAAGGGAGGAGGAGGTTAACTGGAAGAATTTCTAAGGCTCAGAGAGAGGATAGTATTAGAAGAACAGTATATGTTTCTGACATTGACCAGAGTGTAAGTTTGTTACTGTCTTTTTTAAGGTTCTCAAAAGGATTAAAGTTACAGTTTGCATCCATGTAACCTAAATCTGCTTTGTGGTTTAGGTAACTGAGGAAGGTCTCGCTTGCTTGTTTAGTAACTGTGGACAAGTAAGATGACAATTAAGCCTTTGAATAATGCTTGCTATATCCTTTTCCCTTCATTGGTTTTGGACAATGTAATTGATTTAGACAAGTTTATAAGCATATCTGTTGAAAGTGAGATTATGTGTTATGTGCTAAAATATTGCTGCAATTTTTTTTTTTTTTAATTTAAATGTATCTTTAGTGGTATATAATGTTTGTGAAGTAACAGTGAGTTATTCTCTTGTGAAGGTTGTTGATTGTCGAATTTGTGGGGATCCACATTCAGTTCTTCGATTTGCGTTTGTTGAGTTTGCTGAGGACCGTAAGTTTGGCTGCTGGAATCTTGAAATACTTTAACAGAAAAAATTCAATATCACTCTTTTGACCCATACTAGGCATTTTACTATACAGAGGGCGCAAGAGAAGCTTTAAGCCTTGGTGGAACAATGGTTGGATACTACCCAGTGAGGGTTTTACCCTCCAAAACTGCTATTCTTCCAGTGAATCCCACATTTCTTCCCAGGGTAAGCTCACATGTTCGTCACAAGTTCCACTAATTAATTTGGTTTTAAGTTTTTTTTGAGTTTTGAATAAACTCTGCATTCTAATAGTTTTTTTGGTGTTAAATTCAGTCAGAATATGAAAGGGAGATGTGTACAAGGACAATCTATTGCACAAATATCGACAAGAAGGTAAATGCTGAACAATCTACAACCATTACTAATTTTACTTTTCTTCGGTAGCTTCTCCTGGTTTAAGATTTTCTTTATACACCTGCAGGTTTCTCAAGCTGATGTGAGAAACTTCTTTGAGTCGGCATGTGGTGAGGTCAGAACAAAACCTAGACCTTGCTTGATCTCTCTCTCTCTCTCGCTTAAATTGGCTGAAATATTTCCTTTTTAAGGAATGGTGCTTAAGTTGGTTTCTAATATACGCAGGTAACTCGCCTGAGGCTTCTTGGCGATCAACTGCATTCTACTCGCATAGCTTTTGTTGAATTTGCTCTGGTGAGCTCTTCATCTATTATAGATTGCAAGTCTATATTCCCCATACTCACTTTTTTGGCTCTTTTTACTGATGACTAGAAGTTTGATTAAGGAGATGATAAAATATATAATTTGACAAATTGAGAAACTCATATTTCTTTTTCTTTTCACACGAACAGGCAGATAGTGCACTTAGGGCGCTCAATTGCAGCGGGATGGTCGTTGGATCCCAACCGATACGGTAAAGTTTCATCGATGCAATGCTGTGTTTTTTTTTTTTTTTTTTTTTTTGTAATGTGAATATCTCAGTTGGATCAACATTTGGCTCTATTTCTTTTCTTTTTCTAGGGTAAGTCCATCAAAGACACCAGTAAGGCCACGAATCACTCGACCACCATCGACAAACTAGAAAAGAGACCTGACTAAGCTTGTCTGTCTAGAAGAGAGATGATTGCAAACATTTCATTTCCTGCAGTAGATTTTTTTTCTTTCTTTTCTTTTTTGGAGTTTTCTTTATCTTCAAAGTTTTAGAACAATTATCTCCACTTATGTTAGTAGCTGGAAACACCATGATCCTGCTTCTGAATTTTGGAGGTCTTGTTAGGTTCTGTCTTTTCGACTGAGATACTTCCAACTGTTTCATCATCTTTCTGTAAGGGATTTTTGAAGCATTTGCTTTTGAAAGTTGTTGAGCTTTTCACAGGTTCATTTATTGTTTGTTCACCTTTTTCTCAAGGTTAGAAAAGATCATTATTTTGAGATAGAATAGAAGAAAAAGATGTCAAATGTTGGAGATCTCTGAAAAAAAGCTAAATTACAATGTCGTGTGCATCAAGTAAGGTATCTAGTGTGTAGAAAGTGTGATTTAAATATAATAAATTGTCCCTCAAGAGAAGATCTCGCCGTCAATTTCCACATATGGAATGCTTAAGAATACTGTTTCTACTTCCGTCAACAATGGGCATGAACTGATTCGAAGGCAAGACAAGGAAGGAGGAAGATCTTCATCTATCGATATCCGTAGCTTATCATAGCCGTTGATCTCCATCGTCTCAAGAGCCTTTGTATCCTGAAACCCTTTGTGATTCAAAGCCCTGAGGTTCTCGAAACGGCTTATCCGCAGAGAAAAAAGACCTTTAATTTGGCAGTAACCCTTCCTCTGGAAACGATTCAATGTCCTCGTTCCCTCCTTCGATCTCGAGATTTCGAAGATTTTCGAGATCTCTCAATCCCCATTCGTATTTTATGAATATGCTGCATGGATCAAAGGAAACTGATATTCTTACCACAAGATATTTTGGAAATTGATGGAAATTGTTTTTAGATCATCTTCCCTGACTATCATGTCATCCAAGTTTTTGAATCTGTGGTTAAGGATCTCTTGAACCTCCTTATAAATGATAATTAAGAGATCCCAAGGCTGCTAAGCAAATGGATAAGACGAATCTTCTCCTTGTCGCTGCTGTGAGATGACATGAGATGTCTCTCACGAGTTGGCTTCATAGTTTAAGTCTCTCTTTCTACTTCGTTAAATTCCTAAACAGATACAAAATGGCGGGTCAATAATTCTATTATATGCAATAAAACACGTGAAAGGAAAACTTGCTGACATTATTGATGGAAAAAAAACCTTTCATAAGATTCCTTAAACAAACAAAAAAAAAAACCTTTCATAAGATAAGATAGAGAGACATGCAATATTGTAATCACTTATTTGGCCAAAAAAATATTATAATCACAAGTCTCTATTAGACAAACGTTAGGGGTACTAGTGCTGTTCGCAAATCTTATGTTTGTTGTTGCAAGTCGACCGTCGATGAGACGAGTTCCAATTTCCAAGGAGATAAACTATTAACGGAGATTAATTTCTAAGTAGAGACGGAATCTTATATTACTATATATTATTAGATAAGGGTTTCAATGCAAAATTAGATCCGGAGAAAATGGGGATGGAAACTGTCAGACGATCATTTAATGGAAATCCACACGATCACGTTCTTTCTATAAACCATTTTCACTACATGTAATGTAACATGTCTCACTTAACTTAGTTTATAGTGCTTTGTAGAGAAAAACGGGAGAAGATGTAGTTTAAGAGAAACCATTATAGCTTATACATATCCTTAGAAAGAAAAAAATATCTACATTATATATAATGAATTTTGTTGAAACCTGGCATCAAGATTCAATAACACAATACTAAAACAGATAGGTGATCGCAAGATAAATGGTTCATAGGAAAGAAGACCAGAGAGCGAACTAAACAGACTTGTTAGGAACATTAGATGCATTGAGCTGTTCCTAAACAAGACCAAAGATCAGTTGTGTCTGCTAGCAATGTAGCTAGCCAGAGCCAACAGAGGCGCCGCCTTATTCGGATCAAAGCCTTGAAGCAGTTCCTCTGCTTCTCTGCTCAATTTCTCTGCAACTTCCCTTGATCTCTCTAAACCAATTAGTCTTGGATACGTCAGCTTTCCGGCAACCAAGTCTTGTCCGGCAGTCTTTCCCAATGTATTAGTGGATTTCATTACGTCAAGAATATCATCAACCACCTGGAACAACATCCCAATACATCTCGCATACTTTCTAAGCTTCTCGATCTCCTCCTCTGTTCCACCTCCCATTATAACCCCTAAAACCGCAGCTGCCTCCAACAACGCCGCCGTTTTGTGGAGGTGGATAAACTCTAGACGCTCCAATCCACCGTCGTCTGGATTCAGTCCTTCGCTGCTCAGGTCAATCACTTGTCCTGCAACTAACCCTTTTGTCCCTATGGCCTTGGCCAGCTCAATTACCGCGCGCACTGTCCTCTCGGGAGCGACCAACCCACTTGACACGATCGTCATATGCTCAAACGCCAAAGCAAGGAGTGCATCACCCGCCAAAACTGCCATGTCTTCTCCAAACACCTTGTTCGAGCAAAAAATTGTTTCAACACTAGTGTGCATGCGTTAACATCAATGAAAGATTCAACGCTAGTGAGCATTTATCAGAGGCTTCATATGATTATACAACATACCTTGTGGTTGGTGGGCTTGCCTCTACGGAGGTCGGCGTTGTCCATACAGGGAAGGTCGTCATGAATAAGAGAGCTCGTGTGGATCATCTCGACCGCGCAAGCGGCTGACATGGCAGTAGCCTCGTCACCGCCAACGAGCTCGCAGGCAGCAATGCACAGAAGAGGCCTCACACGTTTTCCGCCCGCTAACAATGAGTACCGCACCCCTTCTTGGATCGTGAGGGGTTTCAGAAGAGGTACGGAAACGTTGAGAGCCGCGTTTACAGATTCGGCTTTACGGTTCATATAGGTCTTGAAGTCAAAGGCAGAGCTTGCCTCTGGTGGAATCATGTCTCTGCCTCGTGAGGTGAGAGCAGAAGAGAGAGACAAAACACTGCGTTTCTGCAGACTCTTCTTGACGGAAGATATGGAGTTGAATCTTCTTCCTTTGGATTGGATGACGAGGGAGGATGAGCTGAGATGAACATAAGCCATGGATGATCACCCTTCTCACATTACAAATTTTTTATAATTGGGTTTACCACCCATTAAGAGCATGTGAAGCTCTTAATAGGTTTCTTGGAATTGAAAGCAATGAAGGTCAACGTCTTTGCAGTATTTTTAAATGATATCATCTGTGAAGAAGACAGTATGAATTCTGAATTATGGGATGAAAAAGTATAAGAAGTTCAAATAATAATCAGAATAATTGAACGCAATTCAGATTTTTCATTAGTTAGTAAATGGAGGAAATGTTAAACAAACAAACAACAATTGACTTCAGGTACAGAATTTATGATCCTAGAGCATTATGAGGCTTTTTTGCCAATCATTAGACAAGACATTGTGAATTTGTAAAGGTCTGATCCTAGGACATTATGAGTGTCCTAACTTCTGGGCCACTTGATCAAAGTAGGTAAAATACGGAGAATCAAAGTAGGTAAACTTACAGTTCATATTTGATTTGTTCTAGGAAAAAACGCTTGGGGCATGGTAGCCACGAAACCAAGCTAAGGTCTTGATCAACGAGAGAACACCATGTGATAAGATAACATCCAATAAGCTGATACATATCAGATAACATAAGCTGTTATTGTCAGTCATAAGCCATGCTGATCTTCACAATTCTGCAGTCCTTAGATCAAAGCAGCCAAAGGCAGATGTTGTGCGGAACACACTACTGAAAGTTGGGAGCTTTAAGATAAGCATTTTCCCTAGAGCGCCTCCTCATGCTCTCCAATGCTCGCAAACGCAGTCTGATATTATAACGGTCCAGGTGATAGCGTTCTTTTTAGGCAACACTATGAACAAACCACGCATTTAGAGATATCTCCTTTTTCTAGAAAATCCTTTAGGTAATATCTGCCGAGTAAAACTACGCCTTTCTTCGGCATATCTCAGAAAGTTCATAAGCTTCAAATATTTGGTCATGCCCAGAGTCTAGAGGCATGGATGAAACTAACCCATAAATCTTCCCACAGGCTTTAAACATGAGAGCTAGAATTAACACTGACATCTCCCTCCTGTCTCATTGTCAAAAACAAAACCAAACCCATCTTTGAAACAACCATCAATCGTAGCACATTTTTTCCGAAGGCATTCTATCAAATAGCATCAAAAATATTTCTCCTTTGCAATACCCATCAAATAGCGATTCTAAATATGATAGCAGAAATTTCTCTCCAATCCTAAATTATGTGCCTTTTTGAACACATCCCTACGCGGAAGAAACCATTAATACTTGTAAGAAGCTGTGGTTCTCTCAGGCATTTCATCGAACAGCTTCCTGGCTTTACTCAATCTTACCAGTTTCCACATTGGCGTTCATCACAGTCCAGAAAAACTTTTTCCATACGTCCGGTCCTTCTGTGATTCGTGATCTGACAGTAAACGTCTAAACGACGGGTTTGGTTGATTTCAGACGATTTGCGTGATTCCTAGGTTTCCGACTTGAGCTCATTGAGGAGGGAGAGACAGAGAGACAAGGAAGGACGAAATAGCGGGAAAATATTTAGGGTTGCATCAGCACAAGCCCTTCCAGTTGGTTTAGAAGGTTTCATTAAACGCACCATAGTAGATTCCCATTTTTCTTTTACAGAATGTGTTTCTTTTTTTGCCGTTTTGAAAGATTAAGTGATTTCAAAATTGATTATAGTTAATTTTGTGAATATGTAGGTTTGCCTTCAGATTTCAATTTACGTATATTTATCTTGACTTTTAAATTTAAAGCCATTAAAGTCCACTTCAAAATCAAAATCTATATGTAAGTCCTTCGTATTGGAAATCTATAAACCATAGATGAATGACATATTATTTTGATAAGGACTTAAAAATCATTTATCTATTAACACGTGATTATGTTTGGATCAATAACATCCACTTAAGTATATTTTCAACTTGAAGATTGTCAGGTTTTGAACCAAATAAGAAAAAGAAAAAAAATCTGTAGGTAAGTCGAGTGACTCAAGTCTTTTATGTATGATTTGTTTCCAGAAAGGAAAAAAAAAACTATGGATGTCTACTGGGTTTAGCTAGTAATACGTAAAATAAATTCATACTAAACATATACTATTTTAAAATTTGAATCAACGACTTGGTGAAATGAGTGAATTTTTGACATCGCTGGTAATTTCTGATGTCGTTGTAAGATGTTACTTTTGTTGACGAATCTAAAACGAAAAATATTTAGCTTCCAGCAACAATGAACGAAGAATTCTTATATAAAACTTATATAAAAAGGAAATCATAAAAGTTTTGAATCAAAATACATACTACAGAATAATTCGAGATATCTTGGAGAAGAATCGGAGAAACATTAAAAAATACGAAAACAGAGGTGGAGACATGTGAACCGATCGATAATTGATGCGATGAAGATGGGGTGGGTCGGTCCACTATAAGAACCACCACTCGTGCTAATGCTTCTATAAAGCTTCAAATTTCATTTATTCGGTCAAATCATTTCTTCTCCAACGTCCAACACCCACATGTGACACGTACCTTATCAAGCATATATCGTATACGACCCCAAAATTAAAGTTTTTTTTTATATATATATCTTTAATATATGTCGGTACGTGTATTGTTGAATGTGACATGCATTTGCGCTCTAAAGTCTACATTATGTGTTAGATGTGCAATAGACCCGAACCGTTTTTATGGACGTGTAAATTGTGCATTTTTACAAACAAAGAGAGTAGATATAAGTTAAACTGATATTCCATATGGATTATATTAGACCTTTTTTGTAATTGGATTATAATATTAGACTTTTTTTTTATAATCTCGAAGTTCGGAACCGAGATCCAAAACTAAACAATCCATAATAGTATGACACAACGTAAATCATCCAACGTAAATCACACAACGTGTTTTCCTTTGCTCACAATTCTGTTGTTACCAATCGTATCATCCAAATTTTGTTTCCGGAAAAATAAATCCTTGAGGATAAAACCTTTCATTAAAAAATTAGTACTTTGTGGATATTTTATACTAGTGGTAGTGGTATTCTCATTCTCTATGTATGTATACATAGTAGTGGCATTATCCGGAGCATTTATAAAAATTCTCCTTTTCAAAATAAAACAAATCTAAATACGTTCATTTAATTTGGTTCCCAAATTGATTGCAAACACGAGTAAAGTAGATGTAATTGCTTTGTTTCATCGCCTGTGTTAAACCATATCTATAAGTGGGTGGTGCATTGTACCAAACTTGCAAGATCTTTGCCTATACGCATATTCCACTTGGACAGTTGAAATTTGACATTCAACTAATTTTCTAATTATAATAAATATCCATGAATTAATTTCGTTCAGTCATGTCTCCTCGATGGTCCATTATCAGTTAGGCCAAAAGCTATCATATTATCCCATTCTTATTCTTTATTATAAACCATTATCATCATCATCATCATAGCACATTACATATGATCACATGATTGGTCGTGTAGTGTGGGGAGACATCTTATCTCATACGCCAATATGCCTAATTAATTAATTAATTTAACGTACCTTTCCCTATATATAAGACCTCTTAGCTTTGGCTCTCAAGATATAATATATTCTCTTTAAGTTATAGATATAAATTTGCTCTTCTTAACAGTTTCTCGATCTCTTCTCACAAATGGAGTCTCTGCAGTATGGTTTGGATCAAGGCATGGAGATTTTCAACGATGAGCTTATGATCATGTCGTTTTTGGAAGATGAATCGCCTGTCGAAAACCATAGTAGCGTTAACGAAGAGGAAGAAGAGAAATTAAACCGAGTCATTAGATCGCTAGAAGTTGAGATCAACATGAATTCTCCGACGACGACCATAGAATCTCGGAAAACGGATCTTCAACAGACAAAATCCGGTCTTGAAGATGATTTCGGGTGGCTTAACGACTTTGATATTGGTGTGCTTTCGTCGCAAAATGATGATGAGATGATGAATTGGTGTACGGAACTTTCTTACATGGATAGTGTTGAGATTGAAGGTGGTGATTATTATTCTCATATTAACTATGGACTTGCATTTGAGGAACCAACTCTTTCTCTTTGGCAAGAGAATAATGATGTAGTTATGTATTGATTGATTTTGTGAATTCATAATATAACAAAGGCTGTTTCATATCAGTTAATTAACCTTTTACGTTCCTGTATGTTGTATGTATTCGTAAATGTTATCTTAATTATTAATTTAATACAGAAATATATTATTAGATTTAGAGAGAGAATGGTAAAAAATGTTCTATTATTCAACTGTAAATGTCACTGTACAAATATATATAGACTTGGTTAAGTAAAGGGAAGCTTAACCAATAATAATCAACCGGTTAACCACCTAACTCTAATACCCTCCCCTCAAGTCGAATTCTTCAAGGAGGAAGAAAAAGACTTGAAAATGCGAACTTCGACAAAAGAAACTTGAAAGTCTTGGGAGGAAGAGCTTTGGTGAACAAATCTGCCAACTGGTTTTCAGTCTTCACATGCATTAAGTTCAGAAAACCAGCCCTCAGTCTTTCACGAACTAGATGACAATCATTCTCTATATGTTTTGTTCGTTCGTGAAATACTGAATTTGAGGCTATTTGCATTGCTGAAGTGCTGACACAGAAGAGATTAGCCGGACCAGTTACAGGTATCTTGAGATCTTGTAACAGTTGATTTAGCCATACCAATTCACAAGTAGTATCAGCTAATGCTCTGTACTCTGCTTCAGCGCTACTTCGAGAAACTGTTTTCTGTTTTCTTGACTTCCATGATATCAACGAATCACCCAGAAATACACAGAAACCAGTTGTTGATCTTCTCGAGTCTGGACAACTAGACCAGTCAGCATCGGAGAATCCTTGTAATCGTATATCTGAATTGGCTGAGAAGAATAAACCACGACCCGGATCTCCTTTTAAGTATCTTACTACTCGAAGAGCAGCTTCATAATGCTGTGTCCTTGGCTTGGAGAGATATTGGCTCAGTTTATGAACAGCAAAAGTAATATCAGCTCTCGTAATAGTAAGATAAAGTAATTTTCCAACCAACGCTCTATATACTGTCGGATCTTGCATTAAATCTCCACTTTCTGAACTTAAGTGAATAGTTGAGTCCATTGGTGTTGCAACCGGTTTACAACCAAGAAGACCAACTGATTCAAGAAGATCCAAAGCGTATTTGCGTTGAGAAACAGAGATGCCTTTACTCGTTCTTGCTATTTCCAGGCCTAAGAAATATTTCACCGGTCCAAGATCCTTTAGTTTGAAGGCTGTAGCAAGAAGAGTCTTTAAGTCTGAAACTGCTTCGTCTTTGTTGCTGGCGATGAGTATATCGTCTACATAAACCAGTAGTGCAACAAATGTTGATCCAGTTACTTTAACAAACAAAGTGTGTTCCGTTTCAGACTGAGTAAAACCATCTCTGAGAAGAACCTCTGAAAACTTCTTATACCACTGGCGCGAAGCTTGCTTTAGGCCATAAAGTGATTTATGAAGTTTCCATACGGCATTTGGTGGTAAAGATTCACCAGGAGGAGGTGTATATCCCGGTGGCAATTGCATGTATATTTCTTCTTCTAGATCGCCATGTAAGAAAGCATTTGTGACATCCATTTGTGTTAAGGACCAGCCGTGTTTTGCAGCCAAATCTAGAATCATTTTCACGGTTACTAGCTTTGCCACTGGAGAGAAAGTATCAATGTAGTCTACACCTTTCTGTTGTGTATAACCTTTTGCCACTAATCGAGCTCTATATCTGTCTACTGAACCGTCTGGATTGTGCTTTATTCTGTAGACCCATCTGCATCCAATCGGATGTTTTCCTGGAGGTAAAGAGACAACCGAGAAAGTTCCTGTTTTAACACAGGTTTCCAGTTCTTCATTCATTGGATCATGCCACTTTTTGTTTCGAACAGCCTCATTGAAATCTTTGGGTTCAGATTCTGATGAGATGTTGAAAACAAAAGATTGATAATGATCTTTTAGTTTTGAATAATCCAGAACTGTAGACAGAGGATGTGCCGTTTTGCCTGTTGGGACTGGCAAATCATGCACCAAGTTGCAGTGGTATTGCTGCAAATATGAAGGAGCCCGAGTGTTCCTCTTAGGTCTATTTGCATTAATAGAAATAGTATTCTCAGACACTAATGGGAAATCACTGTTATCGGATAAAACTCCAGGATTTGGTGTTGGTGGTGTTTGTGTGATGGGATTTGGTGGTGGTGTTGTATCAGGTATGGGTAAAGGAAGAATGGTGTGTGGGAAAAGGTCACGGGTGGGAGTAGGGATATCGGATGTGATGAATGGGAATATGTCCTCATGAAAAATAACATTCCGGGATATAGAGATGGAGTGAGTTTCAAGATTGAGAACTTTATATCCTTTGTACCCTGAAGGGTATCCCAGAAAAACGGAGGGTTCGGCTCTAGGAGTAAACTTATGTCTATCTTTTGGAAATGTAGACACATAACAAAGGCACCCGAAAGTTTTTAAGAGAGAGTAATCTGGTTTCTTATTCATGAGGAGTTCAAAAGGGGTTTTATTTTGAAGAAGTGGTGATGGAATTCTGTTTATTAAGAATACTGAGGTTCGAACACAATCTGTCCAATATTGGATAGGGACATTGGACTGGAAAAGGAGGGCTCTGGCCACATTTAAAATGTGCTGGTGTTTTCTTTCAACAACAGAATTCTGTTGAGGGGTTCCCGTACAAGAATAATAGTGAAAAATCCCATGGGTTTCAAAGAGAGTTTTGAAAGAGAGTTCAGGAGCATTGTCAGAACGAACAGACTTGATTTTATTAGAGTATTGAGTTTCTACAAGTTTAAGAAAAGAGGGTACAACGGTGATAACATCACTCTTTGCTTTTAAGAAATAGACCCATGTTACCCTTGTACAATCATCAACAATGGTTAGAAAGTATCTAAAACCATCTGTAGAAACAACAGAAAAAGGACCCCAGACATCCATATGAACAAGATCAAAAGGGTTTGTTGAAAGATTATTATTTGAAAGAAAAGGTAATCGTTTTTGTTTGGCTAGATGACAAGTAGCACAATGTGACCAGTCTTTGAGTTTTGACTTTGGGATAGAAAGGTCTTCAGATAAAACTTGAATCCGAGAGAAAGATGGATGACCCAGCCTTGAATGCCATAAAGAGCTGGAGTCGGAAGTAGAGATGTTATGAATGAGGTTGTATGATGTGAAAGGCTCTAAATCCAGGAAGTAGAGTTTGTGCTTTAGTCTACCCTTCCCAATCATCAAGCCCAGAGTAAACTCCTGGATAAGGCAAAAGGAAGGATAAAAGTTAACAGAGTAGGATGAATCGTGTAGCAATGAGCTAACACTGATGAGGTTTAGGTGAAAGGATGGGATGTATAGGACGTTTTGGAGAAGAATTTTATCCGATAACTTGACTGTACCAGATTGATTGATGACAATCTGTGTACTATCAGGTAATTTCACAGTAGTCTCAGAGATATCAAATAGACCTAAGTTGCAACACACATGTGTTGTCGCACCAGAATCGATAATCCAAGCAGTGAAATTAAGGCATGGTTCCAGCATTGTAGAGCAAATGAGGTTACCTGCTGATGTAGATCCATAAGAGACTCCTGGAACTTCATTTATCGTTGGCATAGAACATTGAGCTTTGTTCGTGAGTTGTTGTGCCAATTGATGAAGTTGTTCCTCAGAGAGGTGTGCTAAAGCATTTGAAACTTGGTGAAAATGATCTTGCACAGCCGGGGAAGTAGTAACCACATTGCCAACCATATTTTCACGAGGTCCTTTCTGAGCTTGACCTTTGAACTGTGAACCATGTTGTTGATGCTGCGGGAAATTTTGATTCTGTTGCTGAAGAGATGGATTTTGTTGCGGAGGAGCTGACTTTGGAGCATAGTTTTGTTGCGGTGGAACATATGTTGACTTGTATCCAGGTGGATATCCATGAAGTTTGTAGCACTTGTTGACAGTGTGTCCTTGAAGACCACAATATGTGCACATAGGTCGCTGTTTTGGTTTATAGCCACCAGAAACTGCTCCAATAGTTTCATTTGTAAAAGAAACATTTCCATAGCCTCCATTGTTTGAGAAATTTGGATCTGTAGCTTGAGGAGCCATGTTGCTCATCTGAAAAACAACTGCCTCAGACTGCGGAACTTGCTTGATCATCTTTTGATGTTCATGCTGAATCACCATATTTAAGGTCTTCTCCAGATCCGGTAGAGGACTTATCATGATAATTTGTTCTCGTACCGTTTCATAAGAATCATTCAGTCCATAAAGAAACTTGATCACAAAATTCCTTTCAAACAATTCCATCCATTTCGTGTTGACATCGCAATCACAATTAGCACAACGACAAGTCGGAAAATCTTGAGCACTCTTGAAAGATTCCCAAATTGTAATCAACTGAGTATAGAATGAGTTGACATCTAACGAACCTTGACGCAAGCCATGAAGTTGTTGTTCGATCTGATAAAGACGAGGAACATTGTTCTGCTTGAATCTTTTAAGCAATTTTTCCCAGATTCCTTGTGCCGTCTTGACGTAGAGAACGCTTTGACCAATTGTCTTCGATACTGAATTCATAAGCCAAGATCGAACCACATCGTTGACACGAGACCACACAGCTGCGTCTCTATCACCATCATTTGGCTTCGGAAGAGTTCCATCAACGAAACAGAGTTTGTTGCGACCGTTTAATGCCATTATCATTGACTCATACCATGAACCAAAATCTCCAGCACCGGTGAGACGATCTGAAACAAGAAGAAGTCCGGAATGATCGCTTCCACTGAGATAGTAAGGATTATCATATGAATCACGATTAGGATTTGAGTTCGTAGCTGGATTCGCCATTGATTGAGCGAACGACAAAACTACGAGAAGAAGGATGAAATCGAGATGAAATTGAGCAAAATGGAGCTAAAAAAAAAATCGAAAAAGGAATCGAAACTCCGATTTGAAGAGATTCGACTCGAAATCCAGAGAAAATGAAGAAGAATCAAGCTTGAATCATGGAGAATCAAAGCTCGAGTGAAGAAAAAAGTTTGTTGCGGAAGGAGAGAGAAAGCTCTGATACCATATTAGATTTAGAGAGAGAATGGTAAAAAATGTTCTGTTATTCAACTGTAAATGTCACTGTACAAATATATATAGAATTGGTTAAGTAAAGGGAAGCTTAACCAATAATAATCAACCGGTTAACCACCTAACTCTAATATATA